CATCGTTAGACCACTTTATATTCGGGAAGTTAAAGTCACCGACAATCAAACAGTCATCATAGGGCTTTTTAATTAAACTATGAGCTAATTTGAAGGATTCAGCGACATATTTTATTAAACTGGCATCATTTGGTCTGTATATACAACCGATAAGTATATGTTTGTTGTTAAATTTTACAGATACCCAGACTTGTTCGAGAAGATTTGTATAAAATTGGTTAACTTCATGAGAGTTAAATACGTCTGTAATGTAGATAGCTACACCGCCACCTCGACGTCCATCTTGACGATCTTTACGATATAGGCTATACCCATCGATATTAGGTACTGAGTCATTTCGAAACCATGTTTCAGAGATAGCAATAACGTGATAATCAAACGTTCTAGATATTGAAATTAGATCGGCCATTTTATTATCGAGAGATGTAGCATTAGTATAATAACAATTAACGCTAAAGTTTGTTTTTTTGTTATGAAGATTTTTACTTTTGTATTTTAAGTTTGCTGGTAAAAGAGTGGAAGAAGGGTAGTAAAGTTTATGTAGTGGTTTGTATATTTTTGAGTTTGACGACTCCGCTGCTTCGTATACCGTATCTAAAGGGCGATGTTTTTAAATTGATATTACTATTTAATTCATTACGCTTCATTCTTAACTGATAGTTTAAATATCTTTCAGCCTCAGTCAAATCTGGGCTTATAAAAATATTTTTATAATTATCTGAATTTTTCAATTTTTTTGCTGCTGTTAATAATGGGTTTCTTTCGGAGACATCAGAAAGTTCGACGATAATTGGTCCTGGTTTAGAGGACGTAGATTTAATACGTTTGACAGATTTTGGTTTTGCATCAGATGAAATAGTAACTAAGATATTCTGAACCGTTTCCTTTTCGTCGATATGCTTATCAGCAACTGATAACTTTGCAGATTCTTTAATGCCATAAATAATAACATTTTTTTCACGCTTCTTTTTTTGCTGTTGCTCAATGGCAAATGTGTTGATAATTTTTAGTTGTTCAATAGGCTGCTTTTTTTTTATGTTTTTGCTTGCAACTGTAACCCAGCTGGATTCGATACTACTGGTTGTGGTATTAGTTAGCTCATTAGGATTTTGGATTAGCTTATCTATTATTAATTGTTGTTGCTTTATTACTTGTTCTAGTTCAGATATTTTGGCCGACCATTTCGCAGTTTCAGCATGAATAAGTTTTTTAATTGCGTCCTCGACTTGCTTTAATTGAGCTGGTGTTAAATTAGTCATCACAGATTTATTTATTTTTTTTTTTTTTTTATATCAGTGATGTTTTTATGTTTATTTATTTGTTAAAATTATTGCAAGTTTATTTGTTACAATTATGACAAATAACTTATTACACAGGGACTAAAAAGATTCAGTATGTGTTTTTTTCCGTGTTATCATATTTATTTGTATATATTTAATTTCTTTATATTATTTGTATATGTTTATATATAAGTTTTTTTTATATGTATTTTATATATAATGTATGGATATATAATTTACTAATATAGTTTGTGTCAGAGCGCAAAAATTTAGCTTATTGTTCAGAAAACTAAAAACAAAGAACAGGTGCAAACGCAACTTTTGGCAAAGAAAAAAAAAAAAAAAAAAAAAAAAAAAAAAAAAAAAAAAAAAACTTTTTATAACTCTGTAAAAAAAAAAAAAAAAAAAAAATTAAGCGAACTGAAGCATAAAAAAAAATCTCAGTTATAACTATTTTTATAATAGTAATATATAAATAAAGATATATATAATAAAATATAAGTATAGGTATAACATATAAGAATTATAATTAATTTAGGTATGCGAAGTACAACAAAAACTGTATTATAGACACGAATAGTTAATATATTACTATAATTTTAAGTAGAAAAGTAATTTATAAGCTAATTAGATAAAGCAATAAGTAGAAAAAGAAGTAGTGGTTAGAAAAAGTTAGAAAAATAAGTAAAAAAGAAAGATAAAGAATACGGAAAAAAAAAAAAAAAAAAAAAAAAAATTTAAAATTCCTGAAAACTTACGCTCAAACAAAAACACGTCTTATCGGCTCAAAGGCTTAAGCTTGAAAAAAGGCTTAAGCTTTAAAAAATGTGAACATTTTGCCAATATTGGCCAATATTGACTTTACAGTATTGGCGCAATCTTGTAGTGCCAATATTGACCAATATTGGCAAAATGTTCACATTGCAATATTGGCCAGATATAGTTTATAATATTGCGCCAATATTGTAAACAATATCGCCCCAATATTGCGCCAATATTGTTTGCTACTTAGGTAGTTATAACTGTATATATAAATTTAGTTAAGAAGATATTTCAAAGAGGTGTTTTGAATATTTCTATATTAAAGATTAATAAATACATTTTTTTCAAACAAATGTTTGTTTGAGGATGTATGTAACAAATGTTACATACATCCTTGATTCTATTGAGTGATTTTCTATTAAATTATAAGAAATGGTTATTTACTTTTTATTTGTTTTAAAAGTTGATATAAATAACTATAATTTAGTTTGTTGCTTTTTTACCAGTATAAGTGAGACTTTAGAATGTTTTTTTCAAATAATTTATGCAATAATAGAATTCAAGTATAATATATTTCTAGAAGGAACACCTGAGTTTGTATACCTCTGTATACTGACAGCACTCAGTTAATAGTTCATGCAGCATTTTTACAAAATAATATCTTGCTACAAAAAATAGAGAATATAAATTTGTAGGTAGAGATGATTGCTGCTTACCATGCTGTTATGTTATTAACCTTCTAGCATACAGCATTGGGTAACTAAGAGCTAAAAGGTACATAAATTATACACTAAAATTGTAAATGCCATTTAATAATAAATTGAATTATTCAAAAAATTATTATTTTTCGCTAATATTTATAAAATCCATTTTTCTTTTATTTTTAAAAAATTTATTAGCCTTATTTAATTATTTTCTTTCGTAGTTTGATAAAGCCATATAAAATATATATTGGTTTCACCACTAGGAACTTAAATCGCCGCCATCTTGGGAGGCCAATTTTGGCTTCAACTTTTTTCGGAAAAAAACAAAAGAATCCGCTATCCAGTTATATTTTGAGATCAGTGATAAATACAAATAGCAAGGGTAAAAAGAAGACATAATTGGTCTTATCACCAAGCTTATTAGTCTATACCGTAAATATAAAACAAGAAAAACTAAAAAAAGGTAACACTATATAATATAAAACGCTTTTCTAAATACTTTATAAATGAAAATCATCGGTCTTAAAGTCCTACTTTAATTTTTTGTTTTTGCATTGGTTTAAGAAAAATCAAAAAAATAATAATAAAAAAAGTAATTAGTACAGAGAAACTATTTCACTAAAAAGCATGCAAGCAAATCCTGAAGATAATCCTGAAGCTTTCCTTTTACCCCAGCATATACCTTAAAATATGTGAATAATTCTTATAAATCATAATTTTTAATATATATTTTTTTATAAAAAAAAAATAATAATTAAAAAAAAAACTGATGCAATAACAAGTGCCTCAATCCTTTTCTAAGATAGTCAAGCCGATAATGACAAACCTCTAATTGTAAGTTTAACAATAGCAATCTTTGTTGAAGAGAAGAGAAACAATAGCAAATTTAAAACTTCAGAAAATACTGAATGCTACGTCGTTCATCAATAGTCTTTGCTTCAATTTGTCCTTAAACTCATTAAGCGTAGCAATTGTTTTAATTTCATTAGTTAATTTTTGTTCCATAATTTTAGCCCTCTAGTAAATATTGAAAATTCAGTCTCCGCAAAATAACTTTTGGGTTGAATATAACTGTTATTTGAAAATCTGGTTAGAAATCTATTCTGATTTATTATGAATAGTGGGTAAAATATTTTAGGAGATATATTTTTAATAATTTTGAACATAAATATAATAATTTGATAGACATTTAATTGATAAACATTCATTGTATTTGAATTTAAAAATAATTATTGGGAGTGTGTATAACGATCCACATTGGAAATGATTCTGATTGCATGCTTACGTTGATTAAATAGTTATTTTATTTAGTAATAATAGATATTATTTTTTGTATTTTTTTTTTTTGAGTTTTATACACAAAAATGCTGAATCTTCTTTGATTTCCTTTTTTTAGGTATTAAAGTATAGAAAAAAATAAACATATATATAATAGTTATTATACCAGAATTTATATTAAGTTTGCATCAATACTATATTAATGTATCAAAGTTATATTCATGTATTTTTATCAATCTGATACGTAATAATTTTATATATATTTTTTCTTTTTATCACGATAATAAATGTATTTTTATATGGTATACCAGGAGAAATAAAAAAAATTAATAAATAAAAAAAAAAAGCAATGTTTGTATAATTTGTATAATATAATTTGCATAATTTTGCATAAGATGGCAATGAATGAACGAGAAATATAAAAGCTTTACGCAAATTTGAATTTAATAGGACTATTTGATAACGCTCTGAATAATAGTGAATTACCTCTTGGGTCGACTTTTGCAAACTTTTTATAGAACAAAAATTTTTATAGAGCACAAATTTTGAAGTAAAGTAATTTTTAATTTAACCCATATATGCAATTATTTATTTATATAAATTAATTCTTTATATAAATTATTTATTTATATAAATTAATTATTTAAATAAATTAATTATTTATATAAATTAATTATTTATATAAATTAATTATTTATATAAATTAATTAATCATATAAATTAATGATTTATTTAAATTAATTATTTATATAAATTAATTATTTATATAAATTAATTATTTATATAAATTAATTATTTATATAAATTATATTATTTATATAAATTAATTATTTATATAAATTAACTATTTATATAAATTAATTATTTATATAAATTAATTATTTAAATAAATTAATTATTTATATAAATTAATTATTTAAATAAATTAATTATTTATATAAATTAATTATTTATATAAATAAAGTTTTAGTTTTTAAGTTTGACATAACTATAAATAATAATCAAATTGTTAAGCAACATTTTCTTCGTTTTTCTAAATTACTTAAACAGGTTGCAATTTTACTTTTTGTTCTAACTGTATCTGGATGGTCAAAACCTAAAACTTCAGATTGTATTTTATCAACAAAATTATACATTTTTAAAGCTTCGTTATATTTTTGCATCTCGTTTAAACAGCTTGCGATATTATTTTTTGTTACTATTGTAGATGAATGGTTGATACCAAAAATTTCAGTTTGCATTTTATCAACAGAATAATAGATTTCTAAAGCTTTGATATATTTTCCCATTTTATACAAACAATTTGCAATATTATTTTTTGTTGTCGTTACAGATAGTTGGTCGATATATGAAACTTGAGTTTGTATTTTATCAACAGAATAATAAGTTTCTAAAGCTTTGTTATATTTTCCCATTTTGTACAAACAGTTTGCAATATTATTTTTTGTGGCTATAGTAGATGAATGTTTAATATCCAAAATTTCAGTTTGTATTTTATCAACTGAGTAATATTTTTCTAAAGCTTCACTATATTTTTTCATTTTGTACAAACAGCTAGCTATATTATTTCTTGTTGCTATAGTAGAGGGATGTTTTATACCCAAATCTTCAGTTTGTATTTTATCAATTGAATAATAATTTTCTAAAGCTTCACTATATTTTTCCATTTTTAACAAACAGCTAGCGATATTATTTCTTGTTCCAATTGTAGAGGGATGTTTAATACCCAAAATTTTAGTTTGTTTTTTATCAACTGAATAATAAATTTTTAAAGCTTCGTTATATTTTTCCATTTTGTACAAACAGTTAGCCATATTATTTTTTGTTGTCATTGTAGATGGATGGGTTATACCTAGAATTTCAGTTTTTGTATTATCAACAAATTTGTAAATTTCTAAAGCTTCATTATATTTTCCCTTATTGTAAAAACAGAGTGCGATGTTATTTTTTGTTTCCATTGTAGAGGGATGGTTGATACCTAAAACTTCAGTTTGTATTTTGTCAAAAGAATCAAAAACTTCTAACGCTTCATCATACTTTTCCATTTCGCTCAAACAAATTGCGATATTGTTTTTTGTTTTCATTGTAGATGGATGGTTAATACCTAAAATTTTAGTTTGTATTTTATCAACAAAATAATAAATTTCTAAAGCTTCGTTATATTTTCTTATTTCGTTTAAACAATTTGCAATATTATTTTTTGTTGCCATTGTAGATGAATGGGTGATACCTAATATTTCAGTTTGTATTTTATCAACAGAATAATAAATTTCTAAAGCTTCGTTGTATTTGCCCATTTCTCTTAAACATATTGCAATATTATTTTTTGTTTCCATTGTAGATTGATGGTTGATACCCAAAATCTCAATTTGTATTTTATCAACAGAATAATAAATTTCTAAAGCATCATTATATTTTTCCATTTCGCTCAAACAGTTTGCAATATTATTTTTTGTTGCTATTGTAGATAAATGGTTGATACCTAATATTTCAGTTTGTATTTTTTCAACAGAATAATAAATTTCTAAAGCTTCGTTATATTTTCCCATATTGTTCAAACAGATTGCAATATTTTGTTTTGCATCAAGTGTGAGTTTATTATTTTCTCCATGGGTTTCTGCATTAAAAATTTGCACTGCTTTTAATATTTCGATTGCTTCTTGAAATAAACCTTTACATACCAATAAATTTTTTATAGGAGTTGTTATATGATGAATGGTTTTTAACATTCTTTTTTTGTTAGTATGAAACATGTAAAGAAAGTGAAAAACAAAATAGTTTCCGTGATCCACGTGTTCTTTTACTTGGTTAAGCTCAAATTTAAAATAACTTTCAATTAGATTAAGATACGTATTTGTACAAGTACTTTTATTTTGATAGTTTTTACACGACAACTGGGTCAATTCGTGCATTGAATATTTTTCATGATTCAAACAATCTAGTAAAGAATAATTTATTAGTAATCCAATAGCTTCATCTATAAAGCATTCTTCGTTTATTGCCATGTGCTTTGAGATTTGGATTATAAATTGTTTACTTATGTTTTGACCATTGCAATAAGATAAACAGTTTATTATTTTGAATGGAATAGTTTTAGTTTTTTCTAATTTTGTCAAAACTAAGTTAATTGCTTTTATTGCAGATTTTGATTCTTCTTCGGTGGGAAAGTTATCATTGTCTAGTATTTCTAAAGGCTTTGATCTATATCGATCTATGTACTTTTCTAGGGAAATTTTATGTATATTTATATATTTTATTGCCTGAGTAATAGCGAACGGATGATAACTGAGTTCTTTAATTAAATTTCTTATATTTTCTTTGTTGTTTTCTTTTATATTTTTTTCCACATAAGCAAAAGCATCTTCAGCAGTAAAAACATCAATGAACATTTGATTTACGTTGTTTGACCACGTTTTCCATTGTGTGGTAACTAAAGTAAATGAATTCGGTTCACTTGAAATATACATTTCTAAACT